TTTACAGTTAAAATATATGTTTATCAAATAAAGTCTAATGTTACAAATAATCGGGGATCCCTTTAAAGTTTTATTGATAAGACCTGGAATGGAAAGGCTTCTATATACCTGTCTGACTTTCTGCAGCCTTTTGTTCCCACCTGATCTCGTAGATCTAAAAATCTTTTACTTATAGTTGTCCTGAGGTTCGGGCTGGTTCCCAGAGATGATCAGGTCTGTGAAACTGGTAAATTTAAATGTTAAGTTCTAAATCTGAATGTGTCAGTCTAAATTTAAAAGGTACATCTTAAATGTTGAATTTTACATTAAGTATTTCGGAACAGACTGCAGCCTGTTATGGTGTGCAGCTCTTATGTCGTCATCATCCTGCAACAAAAGCGAACGCAAATGCTGCTGAAAACTGCATTTAAAATCTAAATTTAAAATATATTAATTGAAAATAATATAGATGGTGCATGTTGTCCGGCAGTTTGAATTGCAGCTCGGACACCGACCGCAACTGCATGTTTGATGTCTTGTAGGGAACCGTTCGCAGCATTAGCAGTTGCTACTGTCTCAGGATGATGATGTCATAACCAGAGCGGCGCACCAACGGGAAAGGCTGTGTTCTGTTTCGAAATACAAAAATCTAAACCAAACAACTTTTAACCACAATATTTAGGATTTAATTTTTACATTTAGATTTAGAATTTAATATTTAGACATAAATGTAACATTTATTACAAATTTGCAGAATGTAAGAACAGTAAGCTGGGGGACGGGAGTCAGCTTGACTTGGGAGTAAGAAAAGGGGGCTTTTAAGAAAATAGGTTGGGAACCACTGAGTTAAATAGCAATAACACGCTAGTGGAATTTTTTAACTAGGATTTTACAATCAGAAAGTGAGCTAAATGTTAAAAATGTGTAAGTGATATTTTTTTACATTTAATTTTACATGTGATGCTCCACCAAATAACATTGATAACATATTGTGGAAAACAATATGTCACGGTGCTGAGATGAAGAATTGTTGAGATACTCAGATGTAAAATAACAACAAGTGTTGACAAAGGGGGACGTCGAAATGTCAATAAAGCATTGATGCAATGCCTTTCATCACAGACTGGAGAAAAAAACCTGATGGTTCTTCAGATTATTTTGAGTCTGTTTCAGAGAGAGACGAAGAAAAGTGAGAGTTCAAATAATATGTTTCAATAAACAAAGACCAGGTTCCTTTTTTTTGATTAGTTCTCCTTTGATGTCACTTTCTGTTTCAGTTTTGCTGAGCCAAGTTCAAAAGAAAATATCAGTTTTGTGGGAAAAATGTGACAAAATCATGTGTATTATATAAAGTTTCTTATATATAAAGATGTTTTCCTTGACTCTGTATTTGAAGTTATGCAGGCACTGTAAATCTCTTCTGGTCTAGTTTTAAATTGTTTTTGTCTTTTGAACTATTGTTGCAAGTTGTCGTTTCTGTGTGCAGCACTTTGGCCCCCGATGTGCCCATTTGATATCTTATCAGTAGCTATCAACAAGCATTCCCAATCCTTGTAGGTGGCCAAGGGTCTGGGGATTTTTTTATTCAGAGGGTGATCCAGCTTGAAAAAGTGGAACTGCAGCATTTAGCTGGATAAAGAGACTCAAACTGAACAAAGTGAGCAAAATTAATAACGACAGAAGGATGGGGGGGAAAACCACCCGATCGGAAGAGAATAACCCAAAAAGTGTCTCTAAGACAAGGTTTGAAGATTGTCTTTGCTGTGGGAAACTGATGCAAGAAAAACACAGTTCTGCAAGGTTTGCAGAAAAGCCAAAAAAAAAAAAAAAAGATCCAGAAATTGCACCAGTATGTCTGAACAGTTTTTGAAAGCCAGAAATGACAGGAAGAATAAAGAAATAAAGGAAGTGATGGCAGGTGCTGCAGGGAAGCAACAGCAATGCTCAGCGGAGTCTGACAGGAATGAGCAGAGACTCTGACAGTCGAGAAGAGAACCAGGAGAAGCTGCTGGCAGAAGAAAGTAAAGTCTGAGCAGTGGAATGATGCTGTTTTTTTTGTTTTGTTTTTTACTTCGTCTTGGACTTGAACTTCTTTCCGAAGGCTCTCTCCAGCTCAGGAACAGACAGAGTGAAGGTGAAGGAGCCGTCAGTTTCTGACCTGACCACCCGGGCTTGAAGGTGAGGAGGTTGGATGAAGAGAAACATATCATCAAAAACTTGTTTGGTGAACAACACACAAGATAATAAAACCATTACACACAAGACAGCTACTAAAACTCAACCAAAACTAACTGGGAATTTTCACAGAAGACAGATGAAATAAACAAGTGAAACTTAGAGATAAACCAACATAAATTAAAAGCCTGGCTTTCCTTTAAGTGTTTTATATCACCTGATCATTACTGCCAGAGTTTTAGATTTAGATATTCTTACAGTAAATGTTGAAATGTGATAAAGTTGTAATCGGTTTGTGTTCTGCACACAAAGACTGACTAAATGTGCCAGAACTCTCATGCTCAGAGTTTGTGTGGTGACTGATTCTCAGCTACAAGTGTGTCAAATTTTAGGTCAAAATTTGTAAAACTGACTGAAGTATAGATATTTTAGTATTCACTACGGTCAAATGGCTGTGGTGGCCATCTTGAAATGTATTGACTCCAAAGGTTAGTTGTAGATGTACATCCAATGACTATTTCCAGAAAAAAAAACATTAAAATGTGGACAGTACTTTGTGGGATATTTTGCCAACCGTCTGACAGAGTTGACAAAAACTGGATAATGTAAAAAAAAAGATTTTATGTAATCTGTGTGGGACCTGTCTCATCCACTACAGTCACCCATTTATTATCTTCTGCTTGTTCTGAAGTCGTGTGAGGGAGGCAGCAGCTCGAGCAGGTAGGCACAGACCTCTCTTTCCCCAGCCACCTCTTCCAGTTCTTCTGGGGGGGGATTCCAGGGTGTCCCCAGGCCAAACGAGAGACAGTGTCTCCAGAGTTTCCAGGGTGTTCCTCTGGGTCTCCTCCCAGTTGGACATGCCTGAAGCACCTCCCTAGGGAGGCATCCTAACCAGATGACAGAACCACCTCAACTGGCTCCTCTCCATGAGGAGGAGTAGCGGCTCTACTCTGAGTTTCTCCTGGATAACTGAACTTCTCGCCCTGTCTCTAAGGGAGAGTCCAGCTACTTTTTTAAACCCCCTGTATCCACAATCTTGTTCTTTCAGTCACTCAGGGGAGGGTGGGAACATAGACCGACCTGTAAACAGAGAGCTTCACCTCATAGCTCAGCTCCCTCTACACCAGGGGTTCTCAAAACGTTTTGAGTCTGGGGAGCCAAAAAAATGCCAGGGACCCTCTAATGAACCCCTGCTGTTTTAAAAGATAACTTACTGTCGTTTCAAGCCCTAAATGCCATGGGAATATATATTTTTTGTTTAGTTTGTTATGATTGTTTTATTAGTTCACTGTTCTCCGTGCATTTTTAAAAATAAAAACCAAATTAACAATTAAGTGAAATTTTTTGAGGACCCCCATGATACCTCTCACGGACCCCTGGGGGTCTTGGGACCCCAGTTTGAGAATCTCTGTTCTACACCACAAAAGACTGGCACAGAGTCCACAATTAGAAGGTGGTATGATAGTATTTTGGTATACTGCCGTATAAAAATATGGTGACTTTTTTAAAAGGTATGACAGTATTAGTCACGTGAACCGAAACGTCAAATGTCCACAAGGCTGCGATGAAAACTGGGACACAGATTCTAGACTCTTTAACAACTGACTGACTGACAGCTTTGAGACCACAGCTGCTTAACGGCACAAAGACCGGCTAAAAGTATGCAGCAGAGTGGATACAAACATGGTAAAAATCTGATTATGTTTGAAACTTAAAACCCTAAAAAGAAGTACTTGGGTGTACTTTCATCTGTGTAAATTACAGACATGAGGGGCAAAGCTATTCTGTGACTCCTGTTGCTCTCATCAGCAGAATGAGTGACAGCAACACGTCAGAGCAGCTGATGCCTCACTCTAGCTCTAGAATGTCATATGCATGCTCAAAGAAGTTGTTTCTCTGTTATTTATTAATTAACTACCATGCACAGACCATAGCCCACCTTTCTAAATGCAATACCACGGTATGAAAAACGTGATGTACATCCAATGTACGTTTTTCTGAGAATTTCATTAAAACCTGTGCTTTGGTTCATGAGATATTTTGCTAACAGACACACAGACATGGGCAAAAAAAAAAGAAAAGCTCTGTGCATGTGCAGAGCAGAAAATGCTTCCTCTGCTTGTTACATTATGTTCTCTCTCATGTACACAGGCTTGTTTTAGTGCTGATGTCATGACTTAGGAAGGTACTGTTTTTGTTGGCTGAGTCTCTCTGGCGGGCCGACAAAGTTACCAACTGATGATATCACTGCCGTTCTTCTCTTGAGACGGTGATTGAAGTAGAACCCAAGTTGATATAGTGAAGATAAGGTGTCAGCAGCACAGAAAAACACACATATTGACTCTGGCTCTGCTGAAAGACTGTTCTGCTCACAAAGCCAACTCCTGCAGAACGAAGCGGGTCTTTAATGAGTTCTATCAAAACTCTGAACACAGCTTCAACCTTAGCACTCGTCAGCATCCTCAGTGTGAGTGTGAGCGTGAATGTTTACGTGAAACCCACCCAGGTCGTTGTTGCTCATCATGGCATTGGAACCTCGAAGGCGCGGGCCCTGCTGGGTGAAGTGATATCCAAACTTCAACAATGTCGTGTTTTTCTCCAGTATGCTGGCTATCTCCATCTCAACCTTGTTACCCAACGGCTGGCTCTAGAGTTTGGAGATGGTTTGGGATAAAATGGGGTTAGAAGCAAATAGAACAAAATATAAAAAAATCAAAACAGAGACAAAAAGAGATGATAAAAATTGACTAATATCTTTAATGGAACTACAAATTACCTCCATGGCAGCAAAGATTAAAATTGTAGAAAGACATGGTGTGTTTTTGTCTAAAAAGGGGACATATTGTGCTTTTAAATCCTTCCTCTTCACATTTAAATCATTCAATTGGGGTCTATATAAAGTGAAACTGCAATGTTTTGGTCTAAATTACCCATTATTGTAACTCATTTGAGAGCAACTCGTTTTGGTGCTGTCTCTTTAAATGCAAATGAAACGATTCACACCCCGACCCCTCCAGGTCTGACTCCCAATGATAATTGTCCACACCACCCTGTTCGGCCATTTTTGTATTTTGATCGCAGAGATAAGACTATATAGCAGTGCAGAAACGTTTTATGTACAAATTAATTAAAAGATGTCAACAAAGGAAGACTTGTCCATCCAGCCTTACATGTTGGAGTCAGAGTCTGACCCAGAGCCAGGTTCACAGCAAATACTGTGAAGTAATTGTTCAAAAAAAGTAATAGGGAATTAAGATAACTGAACAAGTTGAAAAATGACCCAAACTTAATATGAGGATACCCAGTGGTGGGCAGCGCTAATCCAAAATTAAGCTCTGCAATTTCTAGAGCGCTTATGAAATATTTAGGTCCACAACTTCAAAAGCGCTCATGTCATAGAAAAACTAGTGGAAGCTAATTTTAAAGCGCAAGTTCAATTTGACATTTACTAGCTGGCAATAATTCATGTACAATATATGTACAACACTACCAACTAGCAGTGTATGAATCTTTATACAGCTTAACCCTACAAATGCCGATTGCTGGGGATGTGATTTAATGAAACAGACCTTTGGCTCCTGGTGTAAAAATTAAAAAGTTGTTGAGGATTGCTAGTTCGGCTGATACTTTGTCTTTTTCTTTTGTTTGTTGTAGGTTTTGCATCAAAGAAGCATCAATAAAGTGATTTTAAAACTGTTTATTGGAAAACTGAAGCGATGCATTCTGGGTAAATGACGGATTTGATTTGTGACGGGAAACGAAAGAACAGAGAACAGGAAACTATCTTCCCTTCAAAATAAAAGCTTGGATTTTAAAGTTTTCCATGTAGTTACTCCAGTTGACCACTAGGTGCCAGTCTTCATCAGCATAATATCTTTAAAACATTTCTGAGTCTCTAACACCGTTGGCCGATTGCTTCGACCAATTACGTCAAGTATTGAGCTCCAGCATTTAAACTTTTTTTAAAAAAAGGAGCTCCGATTGTAAAGTAAAATAAATCAATACATTCAAAATTTTAGTATGGATTACAAATGTTAACTGTTTTTGCTATTGCCTTCCTGCTATGTAAGCAGACACAAAACATTGTGGGAAATCATTCCCGTGACCGAATGCAACAGTCAGCAAGGATGTATACCTTCCCAATAAGTGTGTTTATCTGGGAGGGGTGCTGTTGGATAGATCATGTGTTGTGATTCATTGAAAGCCATACCTTCAGCTGTTCAAGATAATGATGACTGGTAGATAGTTATTAGCGGTACTGCATTTTAATTTTAGATAGCACAAATCTGCTAATTGCAGACCTAAATATTTCGTTTGCGCTTTAGCGGTTTGGTGCCCACCACTGAAGATATCTACGCAGCACTGGGAGAGACTAAATTCAAATGTTCTGCACTCCTATGGACTCCAGATAAATAACAAAATGTATTTAACGGCTAAAAAAGTGGATTTTGCATATGTCCACTTTAACTTTATTAATATTTAATCTCTGAATATGGAAAGAAATCTGAAATCAATAGACAATATCCTACAAAAGAAAATCTACAGTAAACGTGAAAACAGATGTACACATAAATTCAGCCCTCAAAACTTCTTGCCACTGAAATATTTTATCCCATCCTCATGACTAAACAGCTCCGCCTCCTTCAGGCTGGATGGGTGCTGCTTGTGTCCAACGATACTTCAATCGAAACAGAGATTCTCAGTTAGACTGAGGTTTGGGCTTTGAATGGAACCACTGGAGTGGAGCTTTAACAATATGTTTAGGGTCATAGACCTGCTGAAAGGTGAGCCTCAATCCAAGTCTCAAATCTTCAGAACACTCCAGGATGTGCTTCATCCATCTTTCCTTTAACTCTGATCAGTCTTCCACTCCTTCCTGATGAAAAACATCCCCACAGCATGACGATGCCACCACCATGCTTCACTGTAGGGATGATGTTCTCTGAATGATGAGAGGCGGTAGATATGCCTAAGATAATCTGTCACTTTTTATTGCTGGAAGGTTTGAGTTTGGTCACATCTGACCACTGCACCTTCTTCCACATGTTTGAGGAAGGAATTCCAAGTAACGCCTTTCTCTCTGTCAATCAACCCAAGAGCTAATCCACAGGCAGCATTCTGTTGATGTCAAAATCGTAAGCTTGCTGTTCTCACTTCTACCCGGAACCATAGGAGAGGAGGTACAGACTGCGCGGTTCAGTGTGGTTCTGCCCAAATGGAACCTGGAGACACATTCGGCAGAAGCTGAATTGATCAGAACCACGACAGACCGGTGGAGAAAGGCTGAGACTGGGAGTGTTGCCCAGTGACGTAACTCCAATTACTTCCTGCCACATAAATGCAAAGAATTGTGGGAATTGTCTCCTAAATGAAAACCGTGACCCAGAAGGGCAGTCAGCTAGAGTAAATAACCTCTGAGAACAAACAGTTAACAGAAGGGGGGCTAATAAAATACAACAGTTCTGCATTGTATTGACTAGAAATGGATATCTTCCTCTGCTGTTAAAAATAATGTTGTTCAATACTTGGTAACCCTTTCTTTTACAGTCCCCTAATTACCATGCAATTACCTAGTAGTTTCATGCTAAGTAATAATATTTTACTATGCAACTACTTGTTAATTACAATAATTTACCATGTAATTACTTGGCAAGAACATATGTTTCAATTTGTTTGTATTCTTTTGGTTAATAATATATAATTGAGGTACTATTGAACAGTGTTGTTACCCAATAAAAGTAGTTTTACCAACATAGTAGTTTACTGGAATGGCATGGTAATTAGGGACAATACTTATTCTTTATTCGTATAATATTTATTCATTAAGTGGAAATTTACTTGGTTGTTTATTGGTAAATGCTGAGAAATTGATGTACTATTAAGATCACTAAATTAGTGCATTTGCATAGTAATTTTCTAAATATACACTTTATAACATGGTAATTAGGGAACTGTAAAAATAAAGTTGGCAATTTTTTAGCAAATAATGGGTAATTGAGATAGTCTTGAATTGTAATAGAATTACCCACTAAAATTTGTTTAATTTCACAGTATTTTTATACGCTCTTACCAAGTAATTACATGGTAAAATACTGTATTACCAATAATTGTATAGTAAAATGATTTTACTTACATGTAAATGCTAGGTAATTGCATGGTAATTAGGGGACTGTAAAAGAAAAGGTTACCCAAAAATTTTTAGCGCTGCTAAATTTTAAAATGTAGAAAGCACAAATCCGAACACAGTTTAAAAGTTTTGTAAAAGCCCTGAAGTGCAAACGAGAAATTTATGTCCGCAATTGGGGTTACAGTGCTTTAGGGGACTAGAGCCCACCACTGTGTATAACCTCATATACGTAACTAAACATGAAACAGTGAGCTGGGGATAAACTACGCAATATGACACACAAGAAGACGACCTGTGTAAGATCTGTCCACAGAGAGCCGTGTGTCAGTCAGTACCTGATTGTCAATTTTAAGCTCAAGTAGTGTGGTGTTACACTGCAGCGACTCGATGAGGGCCAAGACTCCAGTCCCTGTTATGAAGTTTGACTCGACATTCAAACTCTTCAGAGTCGTGTTCACCCTCAACATCTCTGCCAGTGCCTGAAACACACAATGTATATTCCCTGTTAAATCAAACTTTGCTTCATTCAAATGGTGGTATCATTTATAGCCATACAGAGGTTGAGTCAGAAGCCTCAGGACACTCTTTTATTTCAGAAAGAAAGGAGAAAATGACTTTTATGGATACCCCAAATAATGGGTGAGGGGGTCTATCACTGGAAAAACTTGCCCTTGATGGTGGATTTCAAGATACTCTAAACATAAAGCTGTGTCCTAATTCAGGGGCTGCAGACTACCTAGACTGCAGTCCCTGAAAACCACAGCCTATGTACTCCGTGTAGGCTGCATAAAGGGGGCTGGGAAATAAGACAGCCTAGTCTTTGTATGACGTATGTTTGCTTGACCTGTTACCACATTCATACATTTTACATGCCTTCAGATGCAGCCTTTATTTACGACGTTTTGTGGACCGCATTCGTCAGCCGCATGATAAGGAACCCACAAAATGGGGCAGACTTTGGCGTGGGGCAGTGACGTAAGCGGCCGACAAATGCGGTCATCGAAGGATGCAACCCCTCAACTGAGACACGGCCACAGTCTAAAAGATAGGCTCCCTCGCCCATTACTTGTATTGTCGGGTCATTTTCTCTTTTCTTTCTGAAATAAAAGGGTGTCCTGTAAATTTTGACTCCTCTTATACATCCTGGAAAAAAAACATGTTTGCATTTGTGTTGCTAAAGACTTACAAACGCTACAGGGTCGTTGCTCCTTGTTCCTACAATACTGAACCTTTCAACCACAGTGTTCTTCTTTAGAGCTTCCGCATACGCCTTCAGAGTCGGGATAGGAATATTCTGCATAAAGAAATCCAGAATAATACTGTACATCAGCATGTGTTTAGGATTTGTTTGAATTACTGGTATGTGTAAGAACATAAAATGACAGCGTGCATAAATACTTTGGTAATACAATTTCCTCTCTATATCTTTTTTTCCCTAAAATCAGCCCAGCATTCTGACCTTTATGTTGTTGAGGTTAACCTCCACCAGGTCTGGATCATTCCTCTTCATTCTCATCAGTGTTTCTTCTACATCAGTGGCGTTGGGCTCCTCATCAGGAACTGGTTTATACTGGGTGCACTGGATCACACCTGAGAAACAATGCCCAGATTCTAGTTAGGGATAAACTTCATGATCAGCACATCTGTTTAAAGGAGTTGCATTTTAACTATATTTGGAGATTATGGTGAATTTCCTTTTGCTTGTAAGGATCCCTGTTCGTAGAGTAAATCCATTTTATCCCTTCTTGTTGTTTAGAGCTTCTTTTTTAAAGTTATCTAAAAGTTTTTGTATTTTCCTACCTGGAGCCAGACTTAAATGTCATTTTCAAAGTGGTCATGATCAGAAGTTTTTAGGTCTTTCAAAATCTTTGCTTTGACTTTGGTCACTAATTCTCTCTTTTTGAGTTTAGTACTTGACTATTTTCAAAGGAATGCTTATGTGTTTAATAAAACAACTTAACTCTGACTTATTCTGTCATGAAAAGGCTCTTAAAGTCAAGGGTTGTGTTGAAACGTAACAAAAAACCAGCAAAAAATCTATTTGATATGAGTTTTAGGCCTTTTACTGAATCTTATTTTATTTAAAGGATTCCTATAACTCTTTCTTCCTGGGGCCCAAACAAACAACAGACAGATTCTGCAATTTTAACACTATTACAACTCAAAATCTCAACTCAAGTCAAAACCAAAAGAATAACTACAAGTTTTCAACTACAACGATTCCAAAGAATATAAAAAATAAAGAGTTCAGTTTTTCCGTCACTGTTTTGACCAAATATTCAGTGAAATATCATTTCATTATGGATAATTAATTGTTTTAGATTCTTTTAAAACTACTATGATTACTAAAAAATGTTTCTGAAAGCAACACCGTTACTAACAGACAGCCAAAAAAACTCTATTTGTTCCATTTACTTTAGCTGAATCTACAAAAACAGATGCATTATAAGACAGTTTGACATAAAATTTTATTTTAGCACCAACAAGGTCATAAAGATTCAACGTACAGTATAGAGCAGTGGTTCCCAAACTTTTTATCTTCTGACCCACAAAATATCCATGGCAAAAACTTGTGACCCCAAATATTACTGGTCTGAGTGCACAAACTTTGTTAATAACCCTAAAAACACAGGCTTTTTGACAATCTAAACAGCTTGTACACAAATACAAATAC